TTAAAATTAATAAATTTATATTTTTAGATAAGGTGTTGTGTGAGAAAATTTGTGTAAAACATTTTCAAATTATGAAACTTTATATTATTTGTATATTTACTTTTGCTTAACATTTTTATGGGGTAAATCTTTTAGGTTGATCTGCACTTTTATTCTTTTAAGTCTATCTAAAAAACACATTTTTGTATCTTTATAGAATACTATTACTACTTCAAGTTTAATCATCTCTTTCCAAATTTAGTAGTCATATTTTGGGTGAGATGAAGCTTTTTTATTGCTAAAAAAACTCAACAATAAATATGAAATTTTTACGTAATATAAAATTTAAGGAAAATGATATGTGCACACTCGGGTCAACACCCGGGTGTGCACACTCCCCTTTGAAAAAAAAAAAAAACCCATAACCCACCCGGTCCAATTTTTTTTTTATATGGGGGTGCACACCCGGGTGTTGGATCCGGGTGTGCACCAATCAGAGTCCAAAATTTAAAGCTCTGATTATTGTGCGTGGTTTCCGAATTTTTAATAAACTAAAGTTTGAGGAAGATACTATATATAAATGACAAAGATCAATATTTGAATAACAATATATTAAAAAAATTTAATTAATTGAAATTATTTAATAAGAATTTATGCATAAAAAATTTCAACTATCATTCATAGTATAATATATACAAATATATGAAGTACTTAATATCTTAATTTTAACTTTATATAAAATTGTTGAAACAATAAAATTCTCTAAAAAGTTATTAAATAATTACTCATTAGAATTTAAAAATCCCCAATAAATACACATTGAACTTTAAAAAATCGTCACTAAATACTAAATGAGTTTTAAAAATTTATAATAAATATCCAATTGGCTTTTTAAAAATAGATATTAAAGAGTAGTTTATATCTAACATATATAATATTGCAATATAATAATAAAAAAAAATACTAATATAGAGAGGTATTTAGAAATATATATATATATACACACACACACCCACAAACACATGAAAACAATATGAGAGAGTAAAGGTGAAACAATGCAAAGAAATAATAAAAGCCCAAAATAATGTAAAAAAATATCGGTTTAAGAAAGAGAAATGGTAAGAGATACATGTATTAAGTTAAATTTGAATTAAAATACATAACAATAACATAATTATTCAATGATGAAACAAACCAGAAAATTGAAAGTGCTTCAAAGATTGATGGAAAATGACTAGTACACTTTTTGATTTGACATATTTTTCGATATCTACCGTGGTTCAACTATTAAAATATAATACAAATATAATTGATTATATATGACTGCGTCTTTAAGTTTATCTATTTTTAATTATAAACTAGAAAATAACGATTTTTTAATAAGTGTATTATATAGTGTATTAAACAAAAAATGTAA